GAACCGCGAAATTTCGCGAGTTAGTGTCTCGCGTTGCAACTTGGACGCAAGGTATTGACGTTACCGTTGACCGTCATTCTCAGCGTTACGTCGATATTGCAATAAAATGCAGGAGAGACGTAAATAATGACGCCGGGTCTTTCAATCGCATGATAATACAAAGAAAATACATCCATAAATCAGCTTGTTGCTTTTCATAAGCGTAACGTTCTCGCCAACGCGTCTTTTGTTTTCAGCCGAGTAAAGATACGAAAGTTTCCGTCAATTTCGCTTCCTTACGCGATCTTCGTGTACGACGACGACGACGTTTGCACGCGTATTGTGTCCCATCGTCCGTCCTCCTATACGACTTTCTCGGTCGGATCCTCCCTTGCCGCCACCCCCTTGAGGCATCACCTCTCTTTTCCGGTACTGTTGCCAAGTTCGACGTCGTGCCCGCCACAACAATGCACCGAAAGTTCCATGAACTTCTAGTTCGTATACCAGCGAACGTTCTGTCCTCCCACGGTACCACGCGACAGTCGGCCATCTTTCAACCCGTTCACCCCATGAAGCGTGTTCCAGCGGTTGCCAGACTAATGGTGAAGGGGATGGAGGGATGAAAAGGCGGCGCACGATAGCAAGGGAATTTCGTCGACGAACTGAATCGCGTGCGGCGTTCGAATAGTCTTCGAATGCGACATCGTAAATCGAGAATCTCCGATCGTTGCGCGTATCCATCGATTCGCCTTAATGTCGTACTTTTTTTTAAGAGCTAGGAAAGCTTTTCTAAAAGACGATAAAAATATTTTGTCGAATGAGAGCAATAACCATTTAACGTATCAGAGAATCAATTGAACGAGTTAACCGACAACAATTCAAACAATTATCTGATCATTGAAATCCGCTCTTAATAAAACTGCTGTTCGCGTTGAATAAACTACCATTTCAAAGCATTAATAAGAGTACTTCAGCAATATTTCGTGATCGATTAATCATAATAAAAGAGAAAAAAAGAAAACGAGCGGAACAAAATAATCTGGTTTCCTGGTCTGATTTAGTTTTGATAGAATAGATGAGAAGACGATGAGAAGAGGACGAAAGGAATTCTTCTCGAAACGAAAATAACGCTCTTTTTTGAAGTTTCTTAGTGGATAAAAATTGTATTCCACGACGGAGCAGTTCTAATGAGATTTCGAATATAATGCGTTTAATTCGATGAAAAAAAATAATTTTCTCGATTGTCTCTCGCGTTCGTTACCATACTTCTCACGAATCTGCTCGCTATTGCTTCTCCCTCTCCCTGTGACCTTCTTTTAACGCTCTCATGCTTATATGTGACTAGATTACCATCGGGTACCTTAAAGCTCTAAGGATTTTCGTCGTGGATTCGACTTTTCTCCGCGCATCCCTCCACCTCGAAAACGAACCAAGAACGTCTAACCCATCGAATTCTCCTCCTCGATAGCGATCTTCTTTCCTCATCCTCTAAGACTCTTTCTACCCCCACACATCAGTCTACATTCGATCGCGAATGAGATACAATTTCAACGTAGAGAAGGCAAGGGTGGAATCGACCGGCGAATGGAGTTCGAAATTCCGTTCTGACGTAGCATAAAAAAGCGAATAGAAAATCGAATCCAGTGACACGTGGGAAATCACAGCGATCGATTCTATATATATTCCTACCTCTCGGCAGTGATCACTCACGAATTCCTGGAGTTGTTCTTTACGCGTATATTTCTCGCACGCGAACGCCCAGTATCTTTGCCGGCTTATTGGAATTTCCCACGAGTAATCAAATTACCTTATGCATAATTCACGTTCGCTCATAACGATAACGCGAATTAACTCTGAGGATAGAGCCAAGCGAAAACGACTCAAAATGAGTAAACTTAATTGTAATATTCAGCGAACATTTAATTTTTACTTTATATTTCTTTCTTCTTTCTCCCTTTTTTTTTTATTTCTATATTTTCTAATTTTTTATTATTTAATATCAATTATATATCTATCATTCTTTTATATAGTTTTAATATATTTTCATATTCTATGTGCAATTAAAATTAAATCATATTGGAATTGAAAACTCTCAAAGCTTTGCAAAAGTGAACCTCATTTCGCGTCATATGCGTGCTTGCATCACTATTGTCTTTCAGATTTTATGCGCTCTCTATCTCTCGTGTTTTATTCATGTCTTACACAGTCATAGTCGCGCACGCGCGTCAACAGGATTGGATTTTATTTGGTGAATTGTCTGAGAGAAATTCGACGGTCCACGAACGTAGATAGGGTAATCTCCGCGACATCCAGGAAATCAGAGTAGTCACTTCGGATATATTTCTCTGGCACACGGTGATCACTCACACATTCCTGAAATCCTTTCCTCGCATATGGGTCATGCAGCTCGCTGAATTCGAGTCCGTCAGAATTTCCTACGAGTAATCGAGTTGTACGGCACGCAAAATGATAATAGAAATTGATATCGCGTTTATCAATGGATCCACTGCGGCAAAAAAAGAATCGATATTCCATAGAACAAAAGGGTCATTTATTTCGACAAATTTCAACGCGCGATATGTCCGCGATATATCGATGAAATATGGAATCTATAGTTTCCTGTATGCAGAAACGCAATGCGCGTGACATTAGCCATAAACATTATCATATACCGATAGTATCTAATTCAAAATGCATATACTTGCGTGCGCATGAGAGAGAAGCAAGCTATAATATATAAAATTTAGAAAATAATTTATAAAATAGTTTTTAAAAAGTTTTAAAACTATTTACTTACAAAAATGATATTGTTATATTTTTTTGGTGAAATGTAATTCAAATGGAATTCTTTTTTTCGAGCGAAAATTTATTTCACTTCTTTGTTCGCAGAAAAATCTCCGTGTATGTTTTCAGCGATTAGTCGTTCCGTCGAGGCGAACAAGTGGCTGCATTCGTATTTTCACGCGCATCGTCGCATCTGGCGGGATGGAAATTTTCTTACACTTGGCACGTTAAATCGGTGTATACACAAACGGTGGCCAAGTGCCGGGAATTTAAGATTGAATAAAGTTGCTACTAAATCCGTCGGATTCCCGAAATCGCGTTTTCTCAAGGCGATCGAAGTTGCGTCTTGCGATGCGGGATAGTTGTATAAGATAACAACAGATTTGCCAGAGAGTTTCGAAAGGATCGTTCCGCGCAAAGGGTGCAATTTTTGGTCTCACTTGCAGGCGTCGCTTACAAATAATTTTGCGAAAATTGTTGCCGATTTTCCCCACGCTTTCACCTCGTTCTTTATCTAACGTCGCGCCATCCTCCTTTTCACGGGCTTGCATTTCGACCAAATGCACCCGATTCCGCATGCAAAACCGCGAATATCGATGTCATGAATTTTCAGTCGGATCTAAACCGAAGATCATTACGACCCTCCAATGGTACTTCCAAACGTGAGATCTACATGCCATTTCGCGCGAAATAACACGTTTTGAGAGCTCTTGCGAAATCAATCGGCTATCCATGAACAATTTATTTGATCAAAAGTACCCTTATAGAGTTTTTTTTAGTTCTGTGTTAAATTGTGAAATATCAATTTGTTATCGAAATCGCCAAAACTATCGACGATGAATTATATCACAAAAGTATAATTTTTACGAGGAATACACTATGTTACGCAATTTTTTTTAAACTGATGAAAAAGCAGTATATATGAAGCGTGTTGCACGATGCGCATATGAAACCTGGACAAAATATGATATGGATCGCTTGATTTATTTCATAAATGACAATAAAGCATCGAAAAGCACCGCGACAAAACGTACCATTGCTTCGAGTTCTCAAACGAAGAAACTTGCCAAGGATGGCTCGATATAAGCGGCGTGAGAAGAGCGTCGTTTGGAGAACGCGTTGGAACGTGCAAGAAAGCCGGGGCACAAAGGAAAATGAATAATAGAAGGTGGAGCAAAGCATGTAGGACGCATATCGAGCGATAACAGCCACCAACAGTGAGAGAAGCTTATCGTTTTGAAAGTAAAACAGCGCGCGCTGAATATTGAAGGGAATTTGAATCTCATTTGAATACATCAGCATGATTGGTAAATTATTTTCTCCTGTGTAAAGTTTATATACACAAGAGTATCTATAGAGGAACAGCACCGGCGTCGTCTTGTATCAGTCCTTGTTAACACCAAAGGGCGCTTAATGCTGAAATCAAGTATCGTAGCTTTACATAAGCGCGTTTTATATTATCGACCTTTCCAGAGCGAAGAAACGGAAATGATATTTCACCAGAAATCATTTACAGTATAAAAAACAGAACTGTACGCGTTCAAAAGAGAAAATGTAATCTTCAATAAAAATTTCATTTTCCAGATATTTTTCCAAACGCGAAGCCGTCTTAATATTTTCGTTGGAATTTCTGTAAACGTAATTTCGTATTTCTTAAAGGTACACCCTAAAGGATAAACGTTCATGTATTTTTTAAGATTATACCCTAAGGAAAAATGTACATCGTGAATCTATTATATCTTGTACGGCCGATGATGTATCAATGACTATTTTTTTTGGAAACATAATATTTTACTACCAATATATTTTAATGTCCGAGCTGAACGAGAAATCGATACTCTTCACCTCCGAATTATTTGAGGAAACAACCCCAGAATACGAAGGACATGCGTCGACGCGTGTGTTCTTTCATACATATACGCACACGTGTACACACAGAGGACGCGAGTTTAATATCTTCGTGTACCAAAGCACACTAACGCGCCGCGCGAGATGCCGGCTGAGGCAAGAAGTAAGGAGGGCCAAGATTATTGCTTCAATATTGCCCGATGTCAGGCATCGTAGTTATGTCTACGTATCCGCCTCCAGCTACCCTACGGCACCCTTCCTGTCCATGATCGTCGACGGCGACGGTAGAACGCCATCCTAATGCCGTGTGTACACGTGCACGTATGCCAGCGGTAGTTGCACGTGCGCAACCCTCGGCAATGTTGCGCCGTTATTAAGCCATCTCTTACCAGTTATATCCCTCTAAGCTCCACTAGTCTTCCAAATACCTCCGGTTTGGCATGCGAATCGGAAGTTGCTGTTTACGATTGGAAGATCGAACGGATGGACGTTGAAGTTCTGGCATCTTTGGAATTTGCTGGAAAACAAAAATGGTACAAGCAATTGAAAATTAGAGGTATAATTAATCGCGCATTTTATTATTAATACAATTGGTATATCTAAGTTATGTAAATTGGTATATCTAAGTTATGTAAATTGACAGTTAAATATAGTTAAACTCATTTGCTGTAACTTCTCATAAAATGCAAATAGCGGTAAGTTATATTTTCTTCTCTGATCTATTCAAATTGATTACATTAAGCGAAAGTTTACGCAAAAGTGTCTGTAATTATTAGAGAGACAAATAACGCGGCCTAGTTTACAAACAAACAATAATAATGCATCGACCGTATAGGAGCTGCAGCCGTGAAGATAAAGCTTCAACTTCATGGAAGCAGCTTTGCTCTTGAAATATTGTCTACGAAGAGAAACAAGAGAGCCTCGCATACCGAAAGAATTACGTATGCATGTCTCGTGAATTTCTGGATCACAACAGAATTCCTTTATTCAAAAAACAAATATAGTGCCGTACGTCTTGTGTGGTGAAACAAACAGCGACGTGTCTGTGAAATTGGAATGCATCTACTATGTTAACATCTGCGACGGGAAGTTCTGGAGCGTTTAACCTTTTTTAGAAGTAAGAATGCGCAAGTAGATTCAATAAATACACTCATGAGAGTGGCATATGAATGTCTAAAATTTCTGTAATAAAAAATAAAAAATTGCTAGACATCCCACCATCCACAATGTTTCTATTTTTTACATGTATATATGTACGCATGTAATATGTATACAATCTACTTACATTACATTCATTACAATGAAATTAATAATTTTTCCATAAAAAGATACATATTTTCAATTGATAAATTGCAGCGATTATAAATAATCCCCTTTAACATACTTTTTTCAACATTTTTGGTTTAGAAAAATCTAGTTAAGTATAAAATAGATTACGATTCATGATTGAATTATGTGACTTTTTTTATAAAAAAAATCTCGAAAAGATAGATATTCAATTACTGCTTCTATTTTTCTTCGTAAATTTCAATGGACGCGCAGAGAAATTGTCAGAGAATTGGAGAGAGAATCATGTTAGATCGATTGATTGTGGAAATGTGTTGATTTAACAATCAAAGCGGAGAGGACAAGAGGAGAAGAAAGAGAAGCTACGGGGTCAAGTACGAGGAGAGATAGAATATGCCTAACATACGCCGCTGTAATTACAACGGATACAACAGAATCATTTGTTTGCGTATTGTTGCCGCAATGCATTGTTGCACAGTGAAATGTTTCACTACTAGCGTCCATCATGCGCACAGATATATCCTTCTCTTGTCTTCAAATAAATTTGGTTCTACGGATTCAAATCCATTGTGCATCTCTCGATTCGGTCTGCCAATACATCTACATATATGCACATATTCTTCAATACACATAAATCGTGCGTGTGCGATGTATGTCAAAAAATGTTGCATCTTTTAATCTTACGCTAAGCCAATTATTAGGTTGCATAACGACAAATAAAATGAAAGAGATGCAAAATTGACTGATTTATAAATAGTTATGACTCATCCTCTATAAATGCAACGAGACAACGAGATGGATGCACACGCTAGATATCATTTGTTATGAATTAATATTCACATAGACCACAAGTCTTCTTTCGTTACGAAAATGTCACGTACTTAATGGTGATGTATTTAAATATAACATAATTACAATTTCTCTGCGCTTGAAATTTATCATTTCAGCAAATTTCCCGTGTATTATTTAATTTTAAAACGGCCATGTGTATATTTCATTCTAATTATAATATGAAAAAATTCTTAGTGTGTCAGATATATATTTATATGTTATATGTGCTTTCTTGAACTGAATTAATGAAGATGTCATTAATTAAACAAGACAAAATTTCATTGAAGATTAGTGTATTTCAATAATCTTCAATGAAATCATTCACACATTGCTTCTCTGTCTTATACTTCACTGATTAGGATAGTAGGATTTAATTGAAAAATCAGTCACTATCACTAATTAAGTCTTCTCAGTGAGATTTTGCAATGCTTTAATGATTAAAAAATCAATAGAGTAATACAGAAATAAATATATTTTTTAAATAAAATTATACCATAATAATTTCGCATGATTTATATCTTATCAACGCATAAAATATTATATAATATTATATAATATTATAAAATATTATAAAATATTATAAAATATTATATAATATTACTCGCATAAAATTAGCACGACTCTCTCTATATTAATAATATAAATATTTATCTTTCAAAAAACATGGAATGATAATACATTGAATTTTTACTCGGAATATTGGTGAAGCAGACACACATCTATTCAAGTATACCCAGTTATTCGCGCTGATATTAATTCCATTCCTACCGTAGAATCCACATTGCGGTTCCATTGTCGCTAATAACATCGCTTGCAGTCAGTCTCACTCGTTATTTTTCTATCAAATGCGAATTCTAACAAGGTATATTAATTATCGAAGATGCTACCACAGGCAAAGCAATTTTCCCCTTCGGCATGAATCCGTGGATACTACCAGAAACGCGAACACGTATTGGCTGCGGACTATATCGACTGTACGTCGATTATCCGATATCATAATGGATATCCAATATTTCATAATGGATATCCAATATTTACGATAGTGGACAGACGCCTGCGGATGTGTGATGTAAAAAATATAAGTGATGATATAAGTGATAGAGAGAAAAGTCGAATACGGATAGAAATGCAAAGTGATGGCTCAGAGAGGTAGAAAGTGAGCGTATGTGTGTGTATGTGTAAAAAAGAGAGAAGATGAATATAAAGAAAGGGGTAGAGTTAATGAGCGAGTTACGACTCGCGTAACTGAAATCTGCGGCAATTATTCCACGAATGTACGACATGATTGAAATTATACACATTGCGCTTCAGATTTTGGAAATATATACGTTCTATCCCGATGCATAGTTACATAATCATAAATATTTGATACATTTAATCAGTTATCTCCAATAGAGATGGAGTAGATGACTAAATATTCGAATATATACACATGAGTATGTCTAATGACTATGAGCATACGATATTAGTGTGCTGATATAGAATGAACATATCAATGTCATCTAAAAGACTAAATGTACGCTTAAGGAAATCTGTCATATTTTAATAGCCTTTTAATATGACTTATTTTAATAGGATTTTAATCCTGTTAAATAATTAATGTGATAAGTAAATAATATATATCTAATGAGTTGATATAGAGGTAATTAGAAGAAGCTATAGAGAATATATGACGTGATATGGAAATTGTATTATCCTTTGAGCAACGTGATATCAACTATAGAAGCTGCGAGCGAATAAAGCAGATGTATCGTTATCTAATATACTACAATATTGCACATTTGTAATATGACTCATGTACTAAAGCAGAATATATAATTATTTGAAAGTAAAGATATATAAATGATATTTCCATACAATATCAATAGAATAAATTAAAATATAGACATTTCTTGAGATGAAGCAATTAATAAATTATATATTATGTGTCATTCGTTCTTATTCTCCGAGAAGAGAGTTGGTTATACAAGGCATAAAAATTCTTGCGGAAATATTATTTAATTGCAAAAAATATACTCAATAAATTTGCAAAATTATATAATACATTATTCTTATTACGTCCCCGCAAATCGCGCAATTCAAGTTGATGCATTTTGTCTGGAGCTTGCTTGAAAACGACGTTTCTATAATCCCAAGAGAAAGCGCTCCGAGACAGATGGTATTGTACGCAAACCTCCGCATAGAATTCGAGACGAATGAAGGGCAGAGAGCACCCCTTTCTCTAGTACCTTGCACAAGCAGGTTTGTGTAACCTCAAGTAAGGTCCAGTGCAAGCTCTTCTCTCCTCTATCATGAAATTACGAAATTCTGCTTGCAACCGGAGCTACCTATTGTGAGAGGTATTTAATATTATGAACGGGACCATTTCGCGCCCCATCTTGTTACGAAATGTACAGACTATAAATCTCTCTCTCTCTCTCTCTCTCTCTCTCTGTCTCCTTCTCTCTTATTCCTCAATATTTTTTAAATATAAAGCTATTCTAAATTAGAATATTTTACACAGGAGATATTATATTATATTATATTATAAAAAATATTCTGTATAAAATAAAACAATTCAGATAAGAATAAAATACAGAATATAGATTATAAAAATTGCTAAAACTAGTTTATATAATTCCATTAGCTGTTCAAGTATACTCTAACATGAATAATTAAATTGATGTAATAATGTAATAATGTATTGAATAAATCGCGTTGCAAGAGATGCTAATTAATAGCAGAGATATTATAGACTGGAGCAGTCAGGGAGAAGGGGAGCGGTAATAATATTTGCGTTGAGCGTGCAAACATTCGACATTTATATTATTTGCACTCATATTAATATTATGCGATACTAAATGCGTTACTGCGGACTTTAAATTTAACACTAGAATAATCTTTACGTTGACATTAGCAGTGTAGTATTATATTACGCTATTAGTACGATTTATTACTAATGAAAACAATATGTACATTATTTCATATTAGTCTAACCCAGAATATAGTGAAATATCGTTTCTTGTGCGCGATAAATTTAATCGTTATTAATTTTTACTAACATAACCAGAATACTACTACTCTTCTTTTTATGATTCTTTTTTTAGCTGCGACTTAAAAATTGGAAACCTTTATTCCCTTTAAAAAATATGAACTTATCAATTTTTAGATAGGAAATATTTATATGAGCACACTCATGTACACACATTTATTTCTCTGAAAATTATAGCTCTCGTGATTCGGCAGTGATCATTCAGTGGAATTCTTCTTCTGACGCAAGACCTTCGCGACGATAACAAACTGATTAATAATGGTAGGAGCGACACAGCTTCGATTAACGGAGAAGGTTTGCAAAGAGAGGATATAGAAGGCAAGATCCCCTGCAAAAGCCCTTGCCTTTTAAAAGAGCCGACGATCCTC